ACGGAGGGCAGAGGCCTCTTCCGAGTCTTCCTCCCCGCCCAGCTCCATAGTCACCGCCTTCATTCCCAAGCAGAGACAGCCTTCTCTCTCCTGTCCCTCTGTTTACTTACTGACGTGAGCACTAACCTCTCCCCTCTACCTTTGTGGTGACAAGTTGGCCGGGGTGTGAAGAATCTCAGGTTGTCATGACGGCTGATGTCGTGAGGGTGACCCCGCTGTAGTTTCAACCAGTGATTCCTAAATGTGTTACAGACAGCTAGGGTTGTCTGAGAGAAAATTTCTAGAAGGCAAGTGAATTAATTTCAGTGCCCTTGAATTTAGAACTGTAAATGCTTGCCACACCAGACTTCGGGTGGAGATGAGATGTCAGATATCAGGAGGGATGTTTCAGCCTCCAAGGGCTGGGCGTTTCGCTCAGAGGTGACTGCTTGGCGATGTAGCTCTTAGCGCCCCGTGGGGTGGAGTCAGAGTTGCGTAGGTCAAGCTTGGTCGCGTCTTTGTAATTGACTTTGGCGGGCAGGTGTGGGCATCGTGCCTCCTAACCTCCTAGTTCTGTTCTGTCTCAGCAAGCCTTAGAAAACAGTGGGCTGTCTTCAATTCCAGTTGCAGCGCATCCCAGCGACCCCAGCCACGCCAAGGCCGCGGCCGCTCAGGGCCAGACTCCAGACGCTCCCAGCGTTTCAGGGGAGCCAGCTGACCCTACGGCCGCAGAGCGGGCAGAAGAACAGGAGAGCCCAGAGAAGTTGGATAAAAAAGAAAAAAAGATTATAAAGAAGAAATCGCCGTTTCTACCTGGTAATTTTAGTATGCTTTAAGGTTTAGACACTTCGGGTGGCCTATTGCTGCTTTTTAAGAAACGCGCCCTCCTTTTTCCTTCTGAAGGTGGTATGTTTGTTGAAGGCTTTGATAGCGTCTACCTTATAGCATCTGTTTATTGTAAACTTCGTTAAACTTACCAACGACGTCCCTGTGATGAGGGCCCCTCCTGACTTGTCCTGCCGCAGCTGTCAGGCCCCTCCTTCCCCCAGCCCTTCCCGCCAGTCTCTGCCCCTTTATCCCCCAGTGCCGCGGCCTGATGCTTCTAAAGCCCCTCTGCTCAAAACCCTCGGCCCTTTCCTGCCGCGTCTGCTCTGGCACCTGCTCCACCTCTCCGCCCACAAGCCCTCTGCAGCCTCTGCCCCAGCGTGCATTTCTGTCTTCCCTCCTGGTCACCTGGATGCAAGCTTCTGTTATGGTAAACTTGGATTCC